CCACCCTAGAGAGCGCTAGTGTTTTGAAAAGTATTGTCATTGGAATGTCATCTTTTGTTTTATACATTCATGTTATCCAACCATGTTGTCTTTTTTGTGTTCTATAAAGAGTAAGGTCTTTTGACATGATTACTCCCATATTCTTTATATTGCTTATTCTTTCTATAGTGTGATTTGACTACATTTTATGTGGTTTCCATCATGAGATTTTTGATCTTCCATTTTCCAAAGTGCAGGTGCTGAAACTTATCTTAAACATTATTATATTTTCTGTGACCCACTGAAAAACCTTATTTATGTCAGTTTGGAGATTTGCTGTGTTTATAGTGTTCATGAAAATTCTAGTGCCATCTGTAAAGACAATACAGTACTATAGTTTGTGTCCTTGTCAATGTACAGTACTCTGTAAGGATGAGGAAACAGTACTGTAGCAAGCACAGTGCCCCGGGGGACTGAGCTTTTCATAATGAATGATTCTGGTTTTACTTTGACGACTATGACTTTGACTTTGACGATAACAACACTGGTCACGCTGTTTCTTGTGAAAACTCCTGCTTTTGCTCCTCTAAGTACATTTGGTTGCTGGCTTCTAGATGCATCTTATACTCTTATTTTCTTGATGGCTGTCTCATTACAGGTAAACACCAGGTCTAGTGTTGCTGGTGGGTCTTCTCTACCTGATATATTGCCTTAAAACGTGTGTGTGTGTGTGTACTTGCTTTGCTTTCCATGTTTCATCACCACATTGTGGGTTCGATGCTTTTAAGGTCTGTTTTCCAGTTTTCCACTTGATTAAATGCCTCAGACGTTGAATTTTCCATCACCTTCATTCAGTTCTCGTTTCATTTCTTGTATCCCAAGTTGGTTAGGGCTTGCCCCATGCCAGGTATCTCTGAATTTATACCCAACTAAATTCATTCATATGTCACTTGAAACAATTAAGTGAACCCATGTTTATTATGTTACCCAGTGATTTGTTCCATAAATGAACCATGTTATGAAACCAATATCACCAGGTCTTTTCCGAATCTAAACTTGTCTAATTTGTATCCATTATTTCAGGTTCTGTTTTGTATCGATAGATTTGGCACCATATTAACAACTTTGGTTTAGTCTCTTTCCTTTGTATAGCTTATTCATAACATCTCTTACTTTTGCCTTTCCAGAGAGGAAAGTTAAGCTCTCTTGATCACTTCATAAGGGAGGTTTCTGATTCCTAAGGTTAACTGTGTCATCATTCTCTTTACATGTTCAAGCAAACTTATGATCATTCTGTAGTATGGCAAATGCAGCAAAAGCTCTGTTGCACAAGAATTCAATCCTAATAGCACTAATTCTTATGAATTTAATAAAACAGACAGAGAACTATTTCACTATGTTGCTATACTTTTGAAGTGCAGAAAAAAAAGCATTCCAAGGTGTCCAAAAAGAGAATGACAAAGTATGAGCAATGATTTGAATATAAATTACATGAAATTTAAATAAATTTGATCGCTACTTTTTTCTTTTATGTACTGTATGCAGACAGTTCCCTACTTACAAATGGGATGCATTCTGAGATGGCATTCGTAAGTCGGCCGTTGATATCTCGGAATCAAGTTTCCCATAGGCACAATGCCTTTAAGTAGGACGATGTGTTCCTGGCCCATCAAAAACCAACATGTATAAAATCCAAATCTTTTGGGGAAATAATATAAGTAACACTGCTTTTATTTATCCTGAGTGATGGAATTGTCCTCCTTGTTATTGATGCTTTTTGACAAGTTAAGTATGTAAGAGAATGTTGACCAAACCACACACTAGAAAGTGAAGGGACGAAGACGTTTCGGTCCGTCCTGGACCATTCTCAAGTCGATTGTGATGAGGAAAGGAGTCTGCAATAAAGAGGCGAGAGAGAGGTGAGGAGAAGAGAATCTTAGAGGTAGAAAAGGCAAGGCAAAAGGTATGCAAGGGAAGGTGTAATAAAGGGGATAGGAATAAGAACATAAGAACAAAGGTAACTGCAGAAGGCCTATTGGCCTCATACGAGGCAGCTCCTACTGCCAACCCAATAAGAAGGGGATAGTAATAGGAATTAGAAGGGATAGTAATACGCAAGGGATCGTAAGAGAAAACAAGGGAAAGAAAAAGAAAGAAGCAAAGAGAAGGAAAGAAAATGGAAGGGTAAGCTTATGTTAGGTCACGTTTGTTAGAAATTTAGAGCATTTGAAATTTAGAGCATTTGAATATATACTGTGAAAGGGAAGAGTCTACAGCAACAAAGCCAGGACTCAAGTTCATGTTGCGTACGTTGTGTATTAAAGCCGATTTAACAAGGCGGCATCTGTGTAGAATAGAGGCAGAAAAGATTATTTTGGAGGAAGACCAATCAATAGGATGATTAGAATCCCTGACATGACAGAAGAGAGCATTGTTTGTCTGCAGACTTAACACTTCTTTTATGTTCTTTAAGTCTGTCATTAAATGTAAGACCAGTTTCACCAAAGTATTGGAGAGGACAAGACGAACAGGAAATGGAGTAGACACCAGCGGTATTAGAGGCAGGAGGAGTAGTGTGAACTAGATTGCTATGAAGTGTTAGTTTGTCGAAAGGCGAGCTTTATGTCAAGAGGGGGCGTAAGGTATTGGTAAAAGTGTTGAGTTCAGATATGAAGGGAAGGCAGAGCACAGTGCTACTAGTGTTTGAAGCAGGTTTAGGATGAAAGAAATTTTGTTTAGCTTGAGAATAGGCACAGTTGATAAAATGCAAAGGGTAACCAAAGGAAGAGAATGATTTGTAAATAGAGGCGATTTCAGAATCGAGAAACTGAGGGTCGCTGATGCATAGAGCGCGGAGGAAGAGAGAGACAAGAACACCTTTCTAAACAGGAGGAGGATGGTAGGACAAGTGAATGTACATGCCACTATGCATGGACTTGCGGTAGACAGAGAAAGAGAACACGGACACAGCTGTGAACGTCAAGAAAAGGAAGGGGGTAATTAGATTCACATTCAACTTTGAAATGGATAGGAGGAGCCAGATTGTTAAAAGAGGAAAGGAAAGGCGGAAAAGACTAAGGTCATGAGGCCATAAAGCAAAGATGTCATCAACATAGTGAAGCCAGAGAGAGGGACGAGTATCAATAGAAGGAAAAAGAACAGTTTCGAAGTATTCCATGTAGAAATTGGCAAGAACAGGAGAGAGAGAGGGGAACCAATAGCGGCACCGAAAGTTTGAGTGTAATATTTACTGTTGAAAGAGAAAGAGTTAGAATCAACACAGTCTAATGAGTTCGAGGAGAACGTCAGTGGGAAGCGGGAGAGGAAGAAGGCCCTCAGTCGCCTTCTGTCTAAGGAAAGAGAGAACATCATTGAGGGGAACATTAGTGAACAGAGAGTCGACATCAAGTCTAAGCATCTTACAGGAGGGCTGCAGGTGCAGTCTTTCTATGAAGTCCTGAGAGTGACGAAGGTGGGCAGGAGAAAAAGTGCCAAGGTAAGGCATCAGAGTTTTAGCGAGCCAGGAGGCAAGAGGATAGCTGACAGAGCCCCGTGAAGAAATGATAGGACGAAGAGGAACACCAGGTTTATGAGTCTTAGGTAGACCATAGAAATAAGGAAGAGAAGGGCAGATGACACGGAAACGTTTTTAAGAAAATGATAGTGTCTCGGCTTGACTTGCACACTCGTGGTTGTAGATGATTGTGCTGTACTGTGTACTGTGTGGTATGAGTGCCCTTATCTCAGGTAGGAGTACCCTGGTGTTGGGTGTATCTGGATAGGTAATCATATTTTAAATTCAGGTAGAGTATGAGTGAGGGTATGCAACATCTTGTTATACGAGGAGTGGATGGAAGCTACACATTCCATTGTATTGACATGGGTGTATTATCACCATTTTAGATGGTACAAGCTGTGGTGGCAGCGAGAATGCTAGAGTCAGGTCAGGGGGTGACCTCACTCCAAATTGTTGAACTAACTATGCTCTGCATACTCCTGATGACATCTTATTCATCTAAAGGTGAGTTGAGCCAATTAGATGTTTACTTTAGGTAGCTGCATTCTGATTGGTGGTCTATGTAGAAGTTCTATGGTAACGGTCAGCAAGATGTGTGTTCATCTACCCAACACAGCTTCAGACTTGGTGAGGATGCCCCTGGACCTGAAGCACTGTCTGTTTTGCAGAGCCACATGCCTTATCATCCTTAAGTACTGGACTCTGGGGAAATTCAGCTTTGGCTCCTGTGGTAATTGACTCCCACTGAAGGTGCGTTGTGTTATAAGTACAGTAGTGGAGACAGAGTACTGCAGTAATGAGCCCATTCGGATACTTTACACAGATTTGCTGTGAGGTTTCGCAAAGAAAATTTTACCCCAACCATGTACTTGTGTGTGTGTATATATATGTATGTATGTAATGTATGTTTGGTGTAATGCATTTGTTGTAAGATAGCTTGGTTGTATCAGTGAATCTGTTTTCCCTTGTAAATAAATCTGTTGTCCCCAACAATGGGATCCATACTGTACTAACACTACATCAAAAATGTTAATGAGAACTGAAACTCTTAATTTCTTGCTTTGCATGAGGAATTAGATGCAACCTATAATCTGGCAGAATTCACTTTGGGTTCTGTGTTGTTGCTCTAGGCACTTTACTCTCGTTGATAACCACTGTGAGCAGTTGGTCATCCTGCTTTGGCATTACTGCACACCGAGGTGGTCCAAGCAAAGTAATTCCGGACTAGGTATAATTACTAGTGGAGCCAGCATGGGCACTGGTTCACCACCAGCACACTTTCTTTATCATCATCCACTGTTGAGGCACTTTTCCTTGAAAAACCACTGAATTAGTGCGTTAGTAACACTAACTGATCACTGTATGTTGGGGAGCCTCCTGTATAGTGCGCAACAATATTATTGATGTTATTTTGCTTTTTCCTAATTATTTTATATACTAATAATAGCAATACAGTATATGTTTATACATCTTTGTTAATAATGCTTGTTTAAACAAATTTCAGATGGAAGGCACATAGGACAAGAAGATGAGAAAGACGACCAAGACACGGTCTTCTGAAAGCTCTGCTGCTGCCGAGCGTTTGGCCGACTACAAAGGAGATGTAAGTTTTTACATCTGTAAAGTTATTGCTTACATATGTATATCTAAGGGGATATTATGTAGTATATATCTGCCTTAGAATGTCTATATATATGCCTTGGCTTCTTACTACGATTTTGGAAATCCATTTTTGGTACAATATATATATATGATGTTCAAAAGAAACGTTATGGAAAAGCAGAGAACATGTAGGCATTGCAGTGCTGGTGAAGGGGACAATTAAGCTTAAAAGAATTAATAATTGATGTTACGGTACTTTGATTATAAATACCTACAGCCCACCAAGTTAAACATGGGATAAGAGAGGAACTAAATAACAAATGAGATTTTTAAAGTGATCATGATACATAAAAAGAGCAGATCAGTATAAAGTGAGATTGTTTTATTGGGATTACCTTAATAAATCAGTACTTTGGGATGCTTATAAGGCAAGAAGGGATGAAATGTGAACTAACAGGTTCGTGGATTATACCAGATGTTACGCGTCAGCACGTTAAGTAGACCATGGGAGTAAGAGAAGTCGATTTTCCATTACTGGTTATGGTATTCATTAGGAAAGAAGACAAAATCTTTTTACCTATAGTTACTGCCTCCTTTCGGTAAGAGCAATCATATTCTGTTTGAAATCAAATTCATAATTCGGTACAACGTAGAAGAACCTGGTGTGAATGAGCTATCAGAGAAATTAGGGGCGGGTAGAAATAGCCTAAGCTACTTTATTCCTGTGAGATGTATTTCTTTTTTATCTCAATAAACATATTTGAACTTGGACAGAGAAATTAAAAATTCTAACAGGTTACTTCAGGATACGATGTATATAGAAAGTTTTTCAATGTATTTGAATAGGAAGGTTTGTTGGTAGGTCAGGATGTTAACGAGAGATGCAAAATTTGGCAACATTTATGAGAGGTGTGTACCCAAAAATTACTATCAAATTATTACGGTTAGGTTTTAAAATCCACCTTGAATGGATTAAGGCAAATTGGGGACCTTGAAAAAAAAAGAAGGAAATGTAAACACTCTGGGAAGGTACTTACCTAACTCAAATTGTTCAAATATTAATTAATTCATTTTGTCGGGGACAGGTAGTCTATATATTTATATGTACTTTAGGCTTATATCGAGGCCCTCCCCTAAGGTCGTACTACTGACTCTCCCCAAGATGCTACCCTGCAACAAGCTGGCTAACTCCTGGATACCTATTTACTGCTAGACGAATAAAGGCATTAGGTGATAGAAAACATGCCCGACCATTTCTGTTCCACCCGGGATTCGAAACTGGGATTCCCAATTGTAAGTTTAGAACAAATCTATCTGTACTGCTGAGACCCAGTCACCTCTTATCTACAGCTGTGACAATTTGTCACAGCTCTAGATAAGAAGTCAGCAGCTTTCAAGTAACCTTCAAGACATCTTTCCTCAGCTGTCTTAAGTCAAAGGTCAAAGCAAAGTTTGAGGGGAATACAGTAATAGTAATTTTCTATATATTGGAGGCATAAGCACTTAGAAAATAGCACTTATAATCCAAGTACAAAAATTATTACATAGTATTATTTACTAGACCATCTTAAATACAAGGAATATAGCAGAACTATGGGAAATGGCCAAATATACAGTATTCTCATTCTCTCAAGTAGTACAGTAACAGAGTAGACCCTCTAAACCAAGGGTCAGCAACATACCAGTTCAGGCCGAGACTCAGCCTACCCACCAACATTATCCAGCCTGCAGTCCCCCAAGGAAACTATCTTATCTACTTGGTCTACATTGTCAAGAAAAGAAAGGAATTTTGTTGGATTTTGCATGTGAAATAGAAGAAATGTCAGTGGATCTGAACATTTGATTAAAAGATGATTGCAGAAGTTTTCATTAAGTAATGCATGTGATGGATGAGTGATGTGTGTAATTACCTAAGTGTAGTTACAGGATGAGAGCTATGCTCGCAACCTGTCCTCTTAAAAAGAACGTCGCTTTTGGCCGTTTGTCCGTATGGCCGAATATGGATGTAATTTGAAAATGAATAAAAAATGAATATAAATTTGGGATTTTTTTTTTCAAGAACAGTAAGTTAAGGGTCCTCTGATAGATTAGGTGGGCAGGAAATTCTCATAAAGTTTCAAAAAGGTATGAAAAACGTTAATGGAATGAATCCTCTTCTAAGCTTGCCGAGTAAGCCGGACGACTCAAACAGAAAACGGAACAGTACGTCACTTTTGTGAGTCGATTTCATTTCAAATTAGAGTATGTCCAAATTTGGCCATAGCGCGCATATGAGCGAAAAGTGATGTTATTTTTAAGAGGACGGGTTGATGCTCGTGGTGTCCCGTCTTTCCAGCACTCTTTGTCATATAACGCTTTGAAATTACTGACGGTTTTGGCCTCCACCACCTCACCTAACTTGTTCCAACCATCGACCACTCTGTTTACAAAAGTGAATTTTCTTATGTTTCTCCGGCAGCTTTGTTTCGTTAGTTTAAATCTATGACCTCTTGTTTTGAAGTTCCGGGTCTCAGGAATTCTTCCCTATCAATTTTATCGATTCCTGTTACTATTTTGTACGTACTAGTGATTATATCGCCTCTTTTTCTTCTATTTTCTAATTTTTGCATATTTAATGCCTCTAACCTCTCCTCGTCGTAGCTCTTGTCCTTCAGTTCTAGACGGCACTTAGTGGTATGTCTTTGCACCTTTTCCAGTTTGTTGATGTGCTTCTTAAGATATGGACACCATACAATTGCTGCATATGCCAGCTTTCGTCTACTATTGCTCACTAACGACTCAGCATTGAGTCGTCCGTTCAGCAACAGGAGTCCCGGTAACTACGCAGCATTGTGTCGTCCGTTAAAAACAGTGCCCAGCATTCACACTTGGCAGTGGGAGGGGCGTGCCGCAGTTTTGGACCTTATGTGCCTTATATATAAAGTTGAAAAGAGTATTCACATTATATTATGCTTGATTAGCGCTCACAGGGGTAACGCAATGTCATTTTCTTTATTTGCTGTGGGTGATATGCCGGGTTTTTGGAGTTTATATGTATTTAGTCCTGTAGAGAATTCAATTGTGAACACATTGATACCAAAATAAATGACCTTTGATGAGATTTGAGGTGACCAAAGTGAAAAAGAGTGTGCACATTTCATTGCTCTTGCGCGCACCCGGGTAACTCGCTCTCACTTTCTCTGTTGCGGGTGGTAAGCCGAGGTTTTTGAGTTTACAGTATATGCATTTAGTCCTGTAGAGAATTCTATTGTGAACACATTAATATCAAGTTGAAAAACCTAGGACGAGAATTGAAATGACAAAGTTGAAAAGAGTATAAACTTTTTAGTATTACCACGCTCTCTAATGGAAGGCCAGGCGCCCCTTGGGGTGGGGTGGCGATCTCTTCTGGGTAACCTTGGCCTGCTTTTATCATGTCAGCAGGTGGAGCACACTGAGTTTTTTTACATTATATGCATATACTCCTGTTGAGAATTCTATTGCGAACACATTGATACCAAAATGAAAGACCTAGGATGAAAATTGAGGTGACCAAAGTGAAAAGAGTGTACACATTTTATCGCTTTTGTGCGCTCCCGGGTAACTCGTTCTCACTTTCTCTGTTTGCTGCGGGTAATAAACCAGGCTTTTGGAGTTTATATGTATTTACTCCTGTGGAGAATTCTATTGCGAACACATTGATACCAAATTTAATATCTTACGACGAGAATTGAGGTGACTAAGTTGAAAAGAGAGTACACTTTTCAGAATTACTGCACACTCCTGTGAAACGTTGAAACCCACCTGGGGTAGTGTGGGGCTCACGCGCACAGTGAGCGAAAGTGTTCTTAATATGGTCCTCAGGTGATAGTTTTGTCAAGAATCACCCCTAGATCTCTTTCTTTATCAGAATTCTTTAAAGATTTCTCACATAATTTATAGATTGTGTGGGGTCTGTGGTGCTCCATATACAGTACTGTACTTATTTTGTCCAGGTCTTCTTGAAGAGTATGGCAATCATCTAAGTTTCTTATCTTCCCTATTATCTTAGCATCATCAGCGAACATGTTCATATAATTCTGTATTCCATCTGGCAGATCATTTATGTAGACAATTAACATTACCGGTGTAAGAATGAACCCTGTGGTACTCCACTTTTGACATTTCTCCAATCTGATACATTGCCTCTGATTATTGCCCTCGATTTTCTATCAGAAAATTTTTCATCCATGTTAGAAGCTTACCTGTCATCCCTCCTAAATGTTCGTTTCCAGATCAACCTCCTAATAACAGTTGTGATGGATGAGTGATGCGTGTGATGGATGAGTGATGTGTGTACTCACCTAGTTGTGCTTGCGGGGGTTGAGCTCTGGCTCTTTGGTCCCACCTCTCAACCGTCTGTCTACCAGTGTACGATTCCTGAGCCTACTGGGGTCCATCATATCCACATTTGAAACTGTGTATGGGGGTCAGCCTCCACCACATCACTTCCTAGTGCATTCCATTTACAAACTACTCAGACGTGTACTTACCTAGTTGTGCTTGCGGGGGGGTTGAACTCTGGCTCTTTGGTCCCACCTCAACTGTCAATCAACTGCCTGAGCCTACTGGGCTCTTATCATATTTGCATATCTGCATTTGAAACTGTGTATGGAGTCTGTCTCCACTACATCACTGCCTAATGCATTCCATCTGTTAACTACTGACATTGAAAAGTTCTTTCTAACGTTCCTGTGGCTCATTTGGGTACTCAGTTTCCACCTGTGTCCCCTTGTTTGTGTACCACCTGTGTTAAACAGTTTATCTATCCTGTCAATTCCTCTGAGAATTTTGAAGGTAGTGATCATGTCTTCCCTTACTCTTCTATCTTCCAGTGTCGTGAGGTGCAGTTCACACAGTTTTTCCCCGTAGCTCATGCCTCTTAGTTCTGGGACTAGCCTAGTGGCATACCTCTGAACTTTTTCAAGCTTCCTTGCACAGGTTCCTGAATGCAGTTCTGATGTTAGCCAGCCTTGCATATGC